CAAAAGCAGGCAGAGACTGTGTGTAGCCTGTAAAACCGGGAGTATTTCCTCTCTAGATCTTAACAGAAAAAAACAAGCAGCCTCTGATCTGATTTGATCTAAAGACCAGGCTCAACAACAAGACAAACAAAGATTTAAGGACTTGAAGGACAGAAGAGAGGAATGGCAAGGCTGTTGTCCCAGTTTAACCTTTTATCGGCCATCTGGCTGTCAGCAAAATAGACATAGATGGGAATTCAAGATCTCTAGAAGAGGCCTAGTTGTAGAGAAAGCCACCAAGCTGCTCAGATAAATGTCATCCCAACTTCATGACATGAGGCCTGTATTCCCAAAACCCACTTGTCCTGATTCTTGGCAAATGAAGCTTAAAGTCTATTAAGTCACTGGTTAGGAATCAAATAAACCTCTTTTTAATTGATTTTCTTTAGAACTTTTAATTACACGTAGTTTTTTCTGTGTGTTTGTACCACAGCACACATGTTTAAGTCAGGAGATAATTTATAAGTGTCAGTTCTCTCCCATCATGTGGGTCCCTAGAGATAAACCTGGGTCATCAGGCTTGCAGCAAGCACCTTTACCTACCATCTAACTGCCCTTCCCACCTCCCTCTTTGAGATAGGGTTTTGCTACATAGTCCTGTCTGAGCTGGAACTTGTAGTCCCAGCTAACCTCAAACTCATGGAAGTCATGAGTTTCAAAGAGCTAAAACTTTGTACTGCTCTCCATCCTAGCTGTATAGCTGTGATAGGCACCTGCTTCCCACTCTTAGCAACAGGCCTCAATGAGACCCTAGGGACAGCTGGGCAGTATAGCCAGTCTTTGCTACTTTGAGGGTTCTTCTTTTTCTCACCCTTTATCCTCCTAGTTTCACTAGATAGGACCAAAAGGAGGATTGGATGCTGGCAGGGTTGTAGAAGGAAACTAAGGCACCTTTCTGTGTCAGCAGTTAAAGTGTTGGGCAGGTAGTGTTGCCACCAGTGCAAAGAAAGCAGCTTGCTGTGGATGGGTAGGGTTGGCATGTGTTTTCAGTGGAGAGAATTTTAACTATGGCACATTTAAATGAGAGGAAAAAGCATTTAAATGAGAAGAAAAAAGGTGGAGAAAAAAACTTGAACTAAGTATGGAAATGTTTTTTTCTCATGCGTGCCTTCCATGCCTTCTGCATACAAGTGCAGAAAGGCTAGGGATTGATTGGAGCTCCCGTAGCCTGTTAGTCTGGAAATGTATATGAGCCTGAGGCATACTTAGTGACTGCTGGAGTGAATTGACTCCCAAACCTCCTTAGTGCCTCTGTGACTCAGTGTCCCTAAGTCCCACACCCTTGGATCCGTTGCCCTGTCTGGACATAATGAGAGGCACCAGGTATTTGATGTGCTCTTCTGCCCTCTCTGTTTGCCTCTCACTTTTATAGTATTGATTTTTCATCCTCTTCTGCATGAGGGAACGATTGAGCTCATTATTGGGAAAAGTTCATAAAACTAATGAGAAGGAAAGGTAATAAGTTTTATAACTTGCTTCTGCTGACAGAAGTATTAACATTTCCCATCTAATGCGGCAGTAATGAACAGTCCTGTGTGCCACATCTGCTCCTGCCCTTGCAGCTGGGTCCAGATCCAGCTCTGTTGTGGATGAAGGCCATAATTGTCGCTGGAGCCTGTGTGAGCTGAGAATTCCCTTTGTGTTTGTGGAAGAAGTCTGGAATTCAAGTCAAACACTCTGATAGAAACAGGTGAGAATGAAGTCTTTTAGGGAGCCGAGCCTTCTGTTCTGAGGCATAGAGGATTGAGAAATGAAGTCCTGGCAGAGTGAGCATCACAGTTTTGTCTGCTGCTTTCAGGGTGGGGATTAATAGGTATAAGAGATCTCAGTGCACCCAACACACAACAAAAACCTTCCTTCCCTCCCTCCCTCCCTCCCCCTCCTCCTGTTTTATTGTGACTTTCCCTTTCCCTCTCCCCCCCACTCCCCTCCCACCCTGAGCATATAGCATTCTAGATACTGAGCCAGTTTTCTAATAAATGGAGATAAATAGGCTGCTCCTGTGCTTAAGCAGGTGTATTTTGTTAGGAGAGTGACAGATTCTTGTGAGGGACGCTACAGAGTTGAAAGGAGGGACCAGAAGATGCTGGAGAAGCGGGGTAATGAGCTGTTGGAGGATGAGAAAGGCCTCTAGGACAAGGAGACAGTTGAACTGGATCTGAAGGATGAGTAAAGGTGCTAGGTGAGGAGGATGAAGGACGCTGGGGTTTGAATGAGCCTGAGACAAAGGCTGGTGAGGAGGGGTGGATTCTCTGGCCAGAGTGGAGGGTGCAACAGGCAGGGAGGCCACTGAGGCCAGTGTGTAGTAACATTCAGGAAGATTGAAGGAGGACTTGGGAGGGGTTTTTCTCCTCACAGGATACTGCTGACACAAAAAAGTGCCTTAGTTTCCTTCTACAGGTGGCTGCAGGACTCCAGAACCAGCTGCTACAGCTTTTCTTCTAGACAGTTCGATGATGCACCTGCCACAGGTCCTCGTATAAGAGGTGCCCCCTGCTGCAGCACTGCCCAACAGAAACCAACTCCAGCAAACTTAAAACATAGTTAACTGATAGCTCTCAGCAGATGACATGATCTTCAAGATGGCAGGAGGACCAGAGAGAAAACAAGCATACCCTGGACGGGTAGGAAAGAGCAAAAGACATAGCCCAATAGCATAAGGGGCCTCACAGCCCACCTAGGCTGCAATAAATAACTGCCACCCCGGCCTCCCATTCTCCCTCTGCACTCAGTTCAGACCAAAGTCCCAAGGAAGGGGCTATCTATTCCTGGCTGAACTTGAGACATATGCCCAGATCTGGCTTCGACAGAGGCACTGAAATTAGAATCTTACTGAGGCTGCAACCACAAGAGACAGGAAAGCTCTTCAGAGAAGATTTGAACTCTAGTCATAAGGAGAAAAAGATGTTGAGCAGCCAAAAGTAGAAGTACCTACAAAAGTAGATAAAATTGTTTCAGCTTGAAGGGACTTGCTCTACTATTCCCTGGAAATAGTTTGCAGGCATCATCCATCTAGAAAGCTGGGAGAAAGCTGGTAGGGCACATGCTCTTCATCTTAAAGTAGCAATTCATTACCAAACACACAAACAAAACTCCACACACCTGCACGCGGGAGCACCTGGCCCTTCCCATATTTCCCCTAAGGCAGGAGGGGAAGGCCTCGTCTCCTTTGCAGGTGGAGGGAAGAGAGGCTGTTAACCCCCTTCACTGTAATTATCACCTTCAGGTGAGGATGAAGCAGACAGCATGCTCTGCTCTACAACTGTCCCAAGTGAATGACGCCTGCCTTGCTCAGTCCATGATGAACCTTATATCTCTGTAAAGTGATCTTCTGTATTACTGGCTGTCAGGCTGCCTGCAGTCAGGTGACAACCTGCCTCTCTGCAGACACCATCTTCAGGAAACCTCAGATTCTGTTCTAAAAGCACAAGTCAGATAGCCCATTCCATGTTACAACTATTAGCATGTCTCTACTGTTTCAGAGGCATTGAGGGCTGCTTTGTTGATCAAGTCACCCAAAACCTTCCATAATCTGCTTTCAGGCCTTGACCTTCTCATCCTGTATCCTACCATTTGTCTTAACTGCTTCCTAGTCCCAGTGGCCACCCATCTTCCAGGGTGAAGGTTAATGTCATTTCTGCCTACAAGCAGGTTACAACACTCCCAAATAACTCATCTCTGCCACTTAACACTGGACTGGAACCAACTCTCCTCTTTCAAACTTCTATTTTCTCCCCTGTCCCAAGGGTCGGGAGCTAAGGGCTTATACCTTCCAGAGCATTTCACCCACTGTGTGCTTTCAACAGCTGTGTGACTATCAGGACAGTTAGCTTATCCTTCTGCTCATCTCATTCCAGAGTTACAATCTCACCCCAGTTTCTGCACCCTTTTGTGTGGAGAGGCTGCTGACCTAATAACTGAGGCAAAGCTCCTCCTGGTCTCAAACCCATGGTCTCCAAAGCAAGCATGCTGCCAACAGCCAGACTACCCCACTTACCATCAGCCTGAGTCTGTCTGACCACTTCTCAACCATGGCAATGAAAGTATCCTAGCTGCAGACAGCACAGTCTCCTTAGTCCCCCTGTGTTTGAATGTTAGCCCTGGGTACCCAGTGCAATACAGACCAATGGAATAGAAGACAAATGCTGTTAGGAGGTAGCATTCTAGAAAATCTGTCCTTGCTGACATAGACAGAGGCTGACACAGATTCTCTTCTGATGCTCAGAGTTGTAATTGTGAGGTGGTGGCAGTCATCCTGAGTGTGGCTGGTTAACTGGGGAAATGGTGGGAAGGAGGAGTGCCGAATCCTGATGATACCAGCAGCTGATGAACTGGCCTACCGGGTGCTCCTAGACACCTCACTTGTAAAATAAACTTTGCATTAAAGCTGAAGAATCCTGACTAACAGCTCTGATCAATTAGATGCATTAATAACAGTAGCACAATTATAGTACTCCTTCATTGTTTGCCAGCTCCTGCTAAGCCCTGGGTAGCTATTATCCCTGACACCTGGGGCAATCCTGCGTATGCGCATCATGATCCTCCAACAAGGCTCAATGTGCTGAAGCTGGAAGCAAAGGGCTACGCTTTGCACCTAGGCTGCCTTGCTGTGAAAATGATGCTTTTGGTGTCATACACTGTGTGCCCCAAAACCTAACCCCTATGCCCTCCTGACACACATGGCACTGCAGCCCTTATACCAGAGATAGCAATGACAAATGAGACTCTCGATCCCCCATGGCTCTAGAGGCCTGAAGCTACAAGAATGGACTTGGACAAGGTGGCAAAGCAAACCAGTGAGTCGAGAGTCTAAAGACTCCAAATTGCAAGTACCTGGAAAACACCCCAAAGCCACAGCTGATAGAGCCAGCTGTGGAGCAGCCTGAGCCTCCAGGGCCAGGCCTCTGCTGTCCATTCCTGCACACACTGGCAGATGGGCCAGCTCAGAAAGACACACTTACTAGTCGAGCTGACTGCTGCTGTTCATGGGTGGGCCTGACCTTCTTCTTGGGCAGGGATGCCTTCAAGTGCTTCTCAGCTGCCTCTTTCTCCTTTTTTGCCACCTTGACCAGCTCATCCTGGACTGCTGCCTGCTGCTGTTGGAACCTAGGCCAGAGAGAAACAGAGAAAAGCTAATAGAAGGCATGGCTAGAAGAACATGGGTAGGAAAAGACCTGCCTTCTCACTGTACCTATCTAAGCAGGGTTGGGGTTTCTGGTCCTTTGCTGCCCAGAAGAACCAGATAGGAAACCGTAAGCCAATTCTTTCAGCTGAGGGGAAGCTTTAGTGACAGGTCCCTAGTCAAGGGACAATAACATTTAGGACAACTCAGATCAGGAACAGGAGAGCTAGCCAAACGCAAAGAATGAGGCAATCACCTGCCAGTAGGAATGTGTCAGGGCACGGCTGAATCCCATGTGAGCCATCCTTTCAAACAAGTAGGCAGAGTCTGGTATGGCCTTCTTAATTTGGCAGAGAGCCTGAAGGTTTTAGACAGCAGCAGTTTTGGGGTTTAAACATCTAACTTTGTTCAGAGTACAGTCATAACCTTTGACCTATCCTGGCATTCTGCTAGTGTGTCACAGCAAATAAAAGCTAGAAGGACTAAGATGCCCTCTGTGTTATTCATAAAAGTAAAATAGCACAAGCAGCAAGCAGCAGGGTCACAGCAGAGAAAAGACCACAGCATCATGAAAAGCCATACCACAGCCTCAGTGCTAACTTGGATTTATATGTAACAAGTTGAATCTAAAAATTGAGAATGAATAAACAATCTGATTAGCACTAAACATGCTTGAAAGCAGGTGTAACTGATGGAAAGTAATTATAATAGAAAGTAAAGCAGCAAGATATGAAAATGCCTATGACGTTAATATACCCGGAGTTAAGGTAAAGACATCAAATGCAAGAAACACCCAGAAGAACCACAGCAGTTGCACTGAGATAATGAGTCTATGGGGATTTGTTTTTATTTTATGTATTTTTTAAAAATCTTTTATCAGCATGTATTAATTTAAAATTGCTAAAAAGTTACTAAAGGGAGTGGGAAGGTTATATATTCCTGGAGATACCACTGGGATACAGGAGGGTAAATTTTGAGACCATGAGTCTTTACCTAGGATTGTCATGCTGGGGGCAAACCCCCAGCCAGGGCAGATACTGTCCACAGGCTGAGACTGGGCCCTGGGACCATCCAGAGGCCGTTTCCTCAAGGACGATGAGGAAGCCTATGAGTGAAGAGCACAGAGGGCAGCGCTGTATTTACTCCTGACTATCCCCCATTAAGAACACCCTCCTCAGGCCCTGCTGGGCATAGGTGGGAGAAGAGATCCTTGGCCTCATGAAGGCTGGATGCCCCAGGGGGTGGGAAATGGAGGGTGGGGAGGTGGTAGTGGGGGGGTAGGTAGGGGTACATCCGCAGAGAAGCAGGAGGAGGGGTGAGGGGATGGGGGTTCCTGGGTGGGTGGGGGATAGGATAAGGGGACAACATATGAAATGTAAATAAAACATCCAATAAAAAAAAAAAAGAACACCCTCCTCTGCAGTGATTTCTCCAGGTGACAACTAGTGGGTTAAAAAATCAGGAAGCTGGCCTCAACATAAAGGGTCTCAGCGCCACTTTTCTACACACCCTAGCGACAGATGAAATGTTTCATGACTGTTGTGAGCTCTCAAGATCATGGCCTGGGCTGGCAGGAGGTTCATCACATAGAACTGAGCAAGCTCCACTTCTTTTACTCTTCCAAGAACCTGCCTCTTTAATTCTGGATTTTAAGGATGGATTTTTAAAGAATCCATCTCTGGTAACCAGTTCCCCTGTGCCCTTTACAGTGGACCAGAGCCACCATGGCATTGTGTTTCAACACAAGCCAACATAAAAATGACAAGGCATTGTGCTCCAGGAGTCAGGGTTGGGGTGGAGGTACACCTGGAAGAAAGCAGCTTAGGGGTTTGGGGGCAGCAAGGGGATACAGACTCTTGGGCTTACTTCTTGAGATCCTCCTTCACTGCTGAGGACTGCAGACCACCACCACTCTCTGCACTGAACACTTTAAAGTCTGCAAAAGAACCAGAGGAAAGGGGCCAATTAACAACACTCAGGATTGATAAAGAAAGGGTACAGGAAAACATACATACACACACACACATCAATGTACTTCCTCAGGAAACCACACTCTGCATGTGGACAATGTCCCCAAGGAAAAGCATGCCCCATGGACAGACTGCAGAGTTCTAGAGGCAGATAGGAGCATAACCTCAAACAACCAGTCTACTGAGCCAAATGACACGAGGCTGCTTTGACCACAGGTTCTGCAGCAGGGCATCCTCACTGTGGGGCTGGCAGCAAGCCACCTGAATGCTGCCCTCCAGGTTCACCATTACATGCCCCACAGTTATTAGCACTCTGAAATTACCTCCTAACCCCATAGGCCAGAGATGGCTGAGGGTAATCACCCTCTGCCATGCATCTGCAAGAGGAGGGTAGAGACTCTTGTATCCTGTTTCTTTTGGAACCTGCCATGGTTTGAATGTTTGCCCCTCTAAAACTCAAGATGGGACATAACTACATTCTAATAACAGTAAGAGGCAAGGTCTTTAGTAGAAATTAGGACTAGACAGCTCCCCACCACAGATGGCATCATTTACTCTGTAAGACGATGGAAAGCCTTCAGCATTCAGACTTGTTCTGTCCTCCGTGTGATGGCCTATGCTGCTTTGGAACGCTACACAGTTCCCATCAGCAAAAAAGCTCTGACAAATGCTGCCCTTTGATTTGGACTTCCCAACCTCTTGAACTATAGAAATTGACTTTTTCATAAATTATCTCACCTATTTAGTTACAGCAACTGAAAATAGCATCCATTTCTACAAATTCCTAATGCTGGTGTGGCATTCTCTTTTAAACCTATTTTACTTCTAGAATTTTCTAGAACTATTGGGTTGTTAGGGACTTCTCGCATGATGACACCTTCCTTTGTAGTCTGCTATGGTGGCTGAGACCTCCACATCTCGATGAGCATGGTTCTTGCAACAGAGCAACAGTGTGAGGGAATGATTTAATTTTAACAGTGTTTTCTAACTTTGTTCTATCACTAAAATAAAGGCAAAAACTATGCTTAAAAAATACCTTAAAGTCAACCCATTTTAAACTGGTCCATTTCTGTTGAATCTTTTCCACATTCAGAAACTTAAAATATACTCTGCAAAATATTTTGCTACTGCTAAAACTAAGTGACAACTGAAGCCCCATTATTCCTTTCAAACAGCTGAAACTTAATGAAACTGAAGTCAGTGCATATTCTCCAAAGCTGAGATGACAATACACTGTGACAATCTCCTTTTCCCATGATTCTCTCCCTCTTCAGTTAAATCTGCTTATTAAAACTCACTGGGTCAAGTTAGACCCCTTTCAGTCTCTCTCATCTCTAGGGCAAAGAACTCCTAAGGAAGAGGCATGCTGGGTCCAGGAAGGGATAGGGACTTGGAGGGTGAGCTTAGTCAGCCCTTTCACTAAGATCTCAGCGAGAAATCCAGGCTCTGATTGGGTCTAAGGCCTGTGAGAAGCCCTGGCACTTACAATACAATGGGAGGAGTGTCAGAGCCTCCAGCCCCTGTTGGAGGTGACCACAATTAATGTCTCCCCTTCCTTTGTACTTAGTAGCCTGGAGTCAGCAAACTGTTTCTACTTCCTCAACAGGCTAGGCTATACCCCAGCTCTTAGCCTGTGCTCCTACTATTCATCTGCCTGAAACTGCTACCCACTGCAGCCCTGTCTTACTGTATGCAGGTAGCCTCTGCCTCACATAAGGAGCCTGTTCTCACTACCCCTGGCCTTAGGCAACTGGCATGAGCTGCTGATGTGATGCCATGTCATGAGCCCCAGGGTAAATATATGGGCTTTAATCCAAGCTGTATACACTCTCAGAGTGGGGGCTGCCTACCTGCCTTGTGTCCCAGTAATGCTCCTGGACAAAGTGTGACACTCCCAGTCTCTAATACAACCCTCAAAAAAGATGGGTAGGAAGGGCAGCAGCAACCTGAGGCCAAGCCAAAGTTCCCACAGGGGCTACCCGAGGCACAGTCTGCCTTCTGCAGTGGTTTACTTAAAAAAAAAAAAAAATCCTAAGTGACAGACCAGATTCTCACAGGGGTTCGTTGACTAGAACAGCAAGCACTCCAAAGCCTTCTGAATACCCTGTCTCTACTGTTCCTCACAGTCTTCTCTTCAAGACTTTTTGCTTCTTTGTGTTTGCTACAAGAAATTGCTGGGGAAGAGCTCAACAGAGCAGCATGGGTACCAGCTCCACAGTGGCTAAGGTGTCTTGGAAGGGTTGGATCAGGGTATCTGAGGCCAGTACCAGCACTACTCACTAATATATCCCAATGGCCCATTTTCGTATGCCTCATTTTTTGACTGGCAGCTAGGGTAGAGCTGCAACAACTGAGTGACAGACATTTCTGCTTCTTCTGGATCCTGAAAAGCAGATGGCTTCCTACCTGAGCTGTCGGACCACGACCTTCTGCCTTATCTTTTATAGTGAAGTCATGAAAACACTACGCAGAAAACAGTCTGGCCACATGACAAGCTCTGACTATGCTGCAACCTACACCACACCAGACAGAGTTTGCTGCATGGAAGGCCACTGTCTCAGAAAGCAGTGACTCCTATCATTCAAGAGTAAAGGCAAGTCTAGCAACAGCCAGGCATATCTCTCCCAATTTCTGTTCCCAATCTCCCAACATACCTGTCTGAGGAGCTTTATAAGTGCCTTCTGGGGGACCACATACAGAGGGTGAAAGAGAAGTAGGCACAGAAGTGGTAGGTGTAGGGGCAGTGGGCACAGGGATGGTTGGTTCAGGAACAATGGGTACAGGAGAGGAGGGCGCAGGACCAAGACCAGGAGCCGGCTGCTCCCCTGCTGAAGGCTGGCTGCAATCCTTCATGCGGTTCACAACACTTTCAGACAGCTTTGGGAAGAAGTGAGGAACAGGAAGTTACATCACAGAAACCTTGAAAATTCATGCCCCAGAACTACTCAAGTTTTCTGAAGACCAGCCCCAGTAATATAATTCTACTCAAGAGCCTCTCATGGTGGCCCAGTGCCAGCCAACCTGGAATCCCAAGCCTATCCCAGGAAGGCTGGCTGGACTCTGCAGCTTCTTCTCCTACCTTGTCACCCTCTACACACACACTACCTTGGGGTTACATGACTCAAATCCCTTCCTTATTTGCATTCACACTGACCCTCTCAACCTCACCAGCCCCAATGGCCACTGCTGTCCATCATCAGTGCTCCATTCAGAGCAGTTCCATGTTCCCTTCCCAGGAGCTTTCAGATGCATTCAGGTGAAGCTCCATCTTTCACACCCCTGTGCCCACTGTTACAGTGCATGCCAGGGAAGCAGCAGGACTGGCTTGCTGGTGTGTCAAAAGCTTCAGCACTGGGCCAAATGGCACTCATTCCTCACCTGCTCCAGCCACCACACAGGGAAGATAATCAAAATACTTGTTGATTCATTTCACCTGATTCCCCTAATGAAGTCTGCGTAACTGAAAAGCTCACTCGTTTCAGAGGAAGTCAAATGGGCATGAGGGTGCCATAAAACAGTTTACATAGATGAAGTAGTGAGCTAGAGATAAATCCCAGATAAAAACCCTTAAGAGTTCACTTCAGTAAATATTTATTAAGTGCCTAACATTCACAGGCCATCATAAAGCACAGCTGAGGGAAAGACATTAAAAATGGCTCCAGGACAAAAGGCACAGTCAGCAGTTCTACTTTCAGATACCTATGGAAAGAAAGCAGTCTCTTGTGAGCAAAGGGTTATGCTAAGATGCTGATTGTAGGAGACAGACAAAGCCAAAACGCTGCAGGACTAGGTATGGTGGCACATGTTTTAATCTTTGCACCTGAGAAACAGAGGCAAGATCTCTGAGCTCTAGGTCAGCCTGGTCTACAGAGGGAGTCCCAAGACAGCCAGAACCTCTACACAGAAAAACCCTGTCTTGAAAAACAAAAGGAATAGAAAAATAAAGCTGCAGAATATGAACACCCAGAAGGGAAATGGTTAAAAAACTCAGTGCATACATCCTATGAAACATCAGGGGCCACTGAAGACCGAGACAAGGCATGCATACACTATCAGGAAGGAGTGTGACCCACTGCTGACCACTAAAAAGTCCTCTAACTCTGTATCTCAAAGCAATAAAAAGACACTGACTGTGAAGATGCAAACAAATCTAAACTCAATGCACACATGTACATATAGAAATACAAATCTGGTGATTTTTCACATCTCTGCACAGTTGAATTCACAGGTCCTACTCAGAAGGGCAAGTTACATCACTCCTCACCAAAGTCCTGGAAAGGAAATGGGCAAGGTACATATGTGTGGTGGTTTGAATATGCTTTGCCCATGGAAAGTGGCAGTATTAGGAGGTATGGCCTTACTGGAGCCTTGTTAGAGAAGTATGTCGCTTTGGAGACCTTGAGGTCTCATATATATGCTCGAGTCTGGCCAGTGTGATCCAGACCCTCCTCCTGGCTGCCTACAGAAGACAGTGTCCTCCTTGTTACCTTTGGATATAGAAATCTCAGCAACTCCAGCTTCAAGTGTGCCTGCACAATGCCATGCTTCCTACCATGATGATGATGGAATGAACCTCAGAAACTATAAGCCAGCCCCAATTAAATGTTTGCCTGTATCAGTTGCCTTGGTTATGATGTCTCTTCACAGCAATAAAATCCAAACTAAGACAACAAGTATGCATGTTTATGTGTATCTATGTGTATTTGTATGTGGGTTTATACCTTACTTTTGTCTTGCCATGGTCATTTATTTGACATCTATAGCGTGTATTAATAATTTAAGATATAATAATTATAGTTAACAAATGAGAATATAGAAATTAAGCAACTAATGATACAGGACAATCCCACCCACCAGTGGAAAAGGAACAGAAGGTCCAGAATGAACCTGTATGTCTATAGCCAACTGATGGTTCAAAGGGTTATGTGGCTAAGTCTGGTCCCAGGGGTTTGTGCTGGACTATGGCACACTGGTCCTACATGTGACCATGCTGAAAGGTGATGGGACCTGTAAGAAGTGGGCATGGGGATGACCATTACTCTTCTCCACTCTTGGGTTCCAGTCTGGAATGTGATGTCTCTCTAACATTCTAAAGAATGTTTCCTTTAGAAATGGAACTTCTACAGACATGCCATGAGATGATGCAGCCAGAAGTTCACTTACCAAACCTAGCACAGGTTACGGTTTGATCAGCTGCTATGTATTTTAATGCTAAATTCTATATCTAAAGGTCTAGGCCTAGGAGTGACTTCTCATGTTTACAAGCTTTTGTTGTGCAAACCTTATCCTTTGATTTAAAACTATTGGTTAAATAACATTGGCTACAGCCAATTACTGGAGGGATTAGAAGTAGATGGGTTTGGAGTGGCCTGGCTGGGAGAGAGAGACCAGAGAAGGAAGAAGAAGAAGAGGGAGAGAGGACGCCTGCATGAAAGAAGATAGACCATGAGCATGTAGCCAGGACAAACAGCAAGTATCTGGGGTACACCACTTGGGAAGTAGCTGCCAGGCCAGCAGTTAGAAGAGTAGATTAGGGGTTATCCCCAGTAATTGTCAAAGCCAATATTATTTAACCAATGGTTTTAAATCAAGGAACAAGGTTTGCACAACAAAGCTTGTAAACATGAGAAGTCACTAGTAGGCCTAGACATTTAGGTATAGAATTTAGCAGTATAATACACAGTAAGAGGCAAACCTCCATAAGCACCCTGTGTGGTTGAACTTACAGCCATCAAAATTGGAGCTAAATGAGACTCTTTTCTTTGTAAGTTCTCAGTCTCAGGTATTTCAACACAGTAACATTACAACCATCAAAACTGGAGTGAAATGAGACTCTTTTCTTTCTAAGTTCTCAGTCTTAGGTATTTCAACACAGTAAGTAGCAAAAAACAGAATAGTACAGTTGCCAACATACTTCAATGCAGAAAGAGTAGCTTCAAGACTAATGATATGTAAACAACCTGATATCCCACATACGGTAACAGAGTAGGAGCCCATACTAAACTATACATTAAAACACTAATTTAAAATAGACTGGTAATCTAAAAGTAGGAGAACAAAAAACTCTTAGAAGAAATCACAGAGGCAAACTTGAATGACCTGTTTTTGGCATAGATTCTTGGATGTGGCACCAAAAGGAAAATCAACCAATTAAATGGATAATTAGCCTTCATCAAAATTAAAGTTCTGTTTATCAAAAAACATTCTAAAGCAACGGAAAAGATAACCCACAAAATGGATAATGCATTTGCAAATAATACCTAACAGATATCTAGGATATACAAGAAGGTCTATGTGCTAAAGGCTGGTCCTTAAGTGACACTACTGGGAGGTGGTGGAATCTTTAGACAGTGGAGTCCAGTAGAAAGTCTTTAAGTCACTGACATGTGTCCTCACAGGAGTTGAGGGACCCTGTTCTGTTCTCTCCTTCCTTCCTATCTTATGAAGTGAACATTTTGTTATGGCACATGCTCCCATGATGCACCACTTTCATCAGTGCCCAGAGCAATAAGACCAGCAGTCATGGAGCAGACTCATAAGCCAAGGTAAAGTCTCCTGATGCCTTAACTATCTCAGGTATTTGGTCACAGTAACCCAATGCTAATACCATGGACAAAAAATATGAACAGAAAGTTCTCTAATAAAAATAGACAAAGTGCCAAGAAGAACAAGAGCAGACATTTAATATCATCAGTCATTATAGAGATACAAAATATAAGGGCATGCTGAGAGAACACTTCACATCCATCAGCGCAGCTGCCATCCAAATGTTAAACATTAGGTGTCTGCACAGCTGCAGGGATCAGAAGCCTCATACAATGTGGGGTATAACACAGTATAGGCAGGATTGGGAAGAGTCTGGAAGGTTCTCCAGAGGTTAAACATAGAGTTACCAAAATGATCCAGCAGTTCTAGCAATCAGCTCAAGCCAAAGAGAAAGGAAACATGCCCACACATGCCTCTACATTAATGTTCACAACAGCTTATCCAGAGTGGCCAATAAGAGAGCACCCAGATGTTCAACTAACATATGAATAAGTAAAATAAAAACATCTATACAATGCAGTATTATTGAATAATAAAATGGAATGAAATACTGATGCATACCATTACATGGACAATCCCAGAAAACATGCCAAGTAAAAGAAGCTAAACACAGACAGTCACAGCCTGCATGACATAGACCTATGTGGTCCATCCGTCCAGGAAACTCTCCAGACACAAAAACAATTATCAGCAGCTTGGGGTGAGGAATAAATTGTACATCATGTTCATCATATTTCATAGCAGAGAGAGAGAGAAAAAAGAGGGAGGGAGGAAAAGAGAGAGAGAGAGACAGAGAGAGACAGAGACAGAGACAGAGAAAGCAAGCACACAAACATGAACAGTCCAGTGGCTATTGCCTTGCCTAGTAGGAATGAATGAGAGCTAGGACTTAAAGAAGAAGAAGGAATGTAGTTCCCCCATTATTAGAAGAACATGGGTAAAGGAGAAGTGAAGAGAAACCACTAAGAAGGTGACACACTAGTGTATGGATACTAAAATCCTGAGATCAGAAAAGGGAAAGAGCCTTCAGAGGTCATGTTTCTTCTCTAAGCTATAGCAACTGAACACAACTGGGAAAGTGAAGGTCAGTTTTAGAGCAAGAAGAACCAGCCACTACTGAGGTCAGTGTACCCTAGTATAATATTCCTGAAGGGAGCCTCTGAGGTGTGAACATAACAAGACGGAAAGAGAATTTGGCTATCCTACCACTGTGCAGGAATTAGCTCCTGAAAGCTGATTTTTAAGTTTTCAGAAAATTTAGCAAACTGACTGATTTCATGATAGCTTTTTGAAATTGACCTGGGAGGGAGTATTTCCATGATGGAAATTCA